GATGCTTAACCGTCTGAGCCACCCAGGCGTCCCGATCTGTTCTCTTAAGGACGTTCGTTTGCAAAGTGCTTCCTTTCCAAGCGAGGCCAGCATATTTTTATGTCCTGACTCGTTTTCTAACGTGTGTGCCTGTGTGTGAATGTGTGTACATGCCCACGTATGTGTCCCTTCACGCTCTCCCACGCGTCCCCAACCTCCTGGGCGGCCCCGGGTATCTCCAAGTGCCTCTGGTGAGAAACTACACATGTAAGGCCCGCCGTGTTCTCTCAGATTCTAGAAGATGACCTCCAAAGCCTACAGCCCGTGTGATAAGCAACACGTGGGAAATGTTTCTGCTCGGCCCTTTCTTCCCACCCAGGACTTTTCCCATTAAATGGGGCCTCAGTGGATTCAGCACTGACCCTGAGGTGACCCCTGCCATCCAGGGATCTGTGGTCAAGTGAAGCGAGACAGATGTTTATACAAGTCAACGCTTGTCACCGGGAATATGGAATGTGTTCTGCTTGAGGTGGAAGCAGGGGGCTCAGAGGGACTAAGTTGTTGCTGCCTCATGAGTGTGGTCAGGGAGGGCTTCCTGGAAGAGGTATCTTGGAACGGTCTTAAATGACAGCTAGGACAGCACTAGGCAGAGGGAGCTGCAGTGGAGCAGGGGCTGCTGGGTCCATGCAGCAGTGAGAACAGAGCTCCTGCTGGTGTACATGGCCCAGGCGCAGTTTGGGCTGGCTGAAACGTGGGCGCCTTCAGGAGATGGGTGGGAGAGAGCGGGAAGCCAGCTGCCAAGAAGTAGGTGAGGCCAGCTGAGAAGGCAGTGAACGCCACGAGCAGGGGTTTGGACTGCCTCTTGGAGATGAAGGAGCTAAGCAGTGGGCAAGCCCCACCTTGAGGGAAGAGAAGACAGCTGCCAGGGTGGCAGGGGATAGAGCTGGGCCCAGGGGGCGGGCTGGGCGGTGTCCCGGGTCTGCTTTGTGCAGACTAGGGAGGAAGCCCTCGGAGAACCCTGCAGGTCTTTATAGGGTCTCTGCGTTCCGGTGGAGGTTGAAACCATGCTTTGGGGGAAGCAGGAAGCTAGGGACTCAGGATCCTGAGAGTAAACATCATTAACTCACCTTAGAGATTAGAGGGCTTGTCACAGCAAGTCCACAGGCTCGGCCCACACCTGGCGTCGGCCTGAGAGAGGCCGGGGGTGGGGCAGACGGCACCTTGGTCTCCTGGCCCATGGGAGCCCCCGGCAAGCCAAGCCAGGCCCCGCTGGAGGGCTGGCAGGAACGTGCAACAGATGCCGGGGTGTGACTGTGGCCGGAATGTGCAGTCCAGGTGTGTGCTGCTATTCCTGTCTGACCTCACCCCCTGTCTCCCTGCCCTCCCTCCACCCATGCGGGCCGCACAGGCCAGGCTCAGGTGGCAGTCCCTAAACACAGACCCACTCTTGGCTTTCATCTCCTTGTGCCTTGCAGGTGACTTCCCTGGCAACACCACCCAGGCTCCTGGCCCCTTTCTGGGCCCCGGCCCGGAGCAGCTCCCCACCCCAGCAGGAGCGAGGGCTGCCTCTGTGCCGGGTACCAGCCAGGGCCCCCAGGACCCGCCCCCGCGGCTGAAACTGACCGAGGCGGTCAGGGTGCTCTGCGAGATTGAGAAGGTGGCCATCGCCATCCAGAGGCGCTTCCTGCAGCAGGAATCCATCCCCGAGTCTTCCCTGTACCTGGGACACCCATCCTGCAATGTGAGCGACCACAACAGCACACACGTGCTCCTGGTGGCCGGGTGGACCGAGTGCGGAACCGTTGTGCAAAGTGTAAGGGCCGGGGAGCCAGGCTCGGGTGCACAGATTGGGGGGGTAGTGCATCGAGCATCAGGAGCACCAGATGGGGAGGGCCCACAACTGTCCCAGGGGGCCAGGGAAGACTCTGCACCCCACAGTCTCTGACTCTAAGTGGGGGACCCAAGAAAGGGGGACAGGATAGGGCAAGTTCTCACCAGGGACCAGATTGTGCCCTGGAATCAGGAGACAGTTTTGAGCTCTGCCCTGTGGGATTCTGGTGCAAAGGGCCTGGGGTCGGCCTCAGGATTTAAAGAATACTTCCAGCGATTCTGAAGCGTAGGCAGGATGGACAGCCAGTGGGAGAGGAAAAAGGGAGGAAAGCGAAGTGTGTTAACATGAGTGTCCAGGTGTGCATATGTGTGAGAACGTGCATGTGTGTAGGTGAGTGTGTGTGAATGTGCACATGTGTGAGTGTGTGCATGTTTGTGCATGCTGGGCAAGTGGGGTGGTGTGATCAGAAGGACCTGGCCAGAGGGATTGTGGGCCTGAGAGTAATTGTCTTCACTGCAGAGTCCTTGACAGGTGCAGGGTCCTCCCTCTGCCCACACAGAGGCAAGCCCAGTTAGGGGTGGGGCCCCCAGCTGGAGGCACCTCCCGTCTCATGTGCAGGGAGAGCTCTGGGCCCACGTGAGCTCCCCTGGTCTGCGGCACCCCCGCACCCCATGAGCTAGGCTGACCCGCTCCAGGCCCTGATTCTTCCCAGGTTGGCTCTAGGTCGCAATTAAGACTCCTGTGTCCCTCTTTCCTCCCTTCTCCCCACACTGTGTGCACTGAGCCGCCGGGAGGAGGGCATCAGCATCCTCCGTGAGCCCCGCCTCACTGGGCATGGTGGCCCCCTGAGAAATGTGCACCCCCTGGGACAGGACGTGTGGAAACCAACATGGTCCCCAGATGCGTATGGGGAGGACTGTGTGCACAGCCAGGGAACACGTGACAGTGGCTGGGTGAGGGGGGCAGAAAGCTGGGGGGATGTGAGGAGGTGGAAGGTGTCTGCATGGTTCTGGGGGGCGGGGCAGCTGGACCCTGGGTTGGGGGCTGTGCATGGAAGGGCTGGTGTTGGGGGGGGAGGGGCTGGGAGATGGTCTCAGCAGGGGGCCGGCATGGCAGTGGGGACAGGGAGGTTGTCCTCATTAGGGAAGTTGGTCCACTGGGCAGGGACTCAGGAACCCGGACTTCAGCCCTAAGAACCTTGTGATGGCAATTTGAGGCCTTGTTTCCTAGAATGGGGTGGGGAAAGGTCACCCCATGGACCCGCGGGCTGGTGTTCTGCGTGCCTGGTGACGGTTAGGTCCCAGTACCCGCGTTTAACCGATGGGACCTGGAGGCTCTTGGCAAGGTCAACGGGGGGGTCAAGGTTGCCCTGCTTCCAAGGACCAGCCCTATGGCCTCTGTGACTGCCTTTCCAGGGGCCTTACGAGATACAAGGAGGACAAAGGCCCTGCACACAGATGCTTCTGGCTGGAGCCTGGTCCCTGCTCCTCCGTGGGGACACGTGGGCCCCAGGCACAGGCTGGGCTGAGCGGACAGATGAGGTGCAGGCGAGCCAGGGGCCAGGCACTAGGGCTGCGGGGTCAGCACAGACCTGGACGTGTGGGGGGCCATGCAGAGTGGTGCACTTGCACCCTGGGCCTGCTTGCCTCTCTCGACTGTGATTCCAGCCTCCCTGGGGGCCCTGTAACCACAGAGCCTTCGTCAGCCCCCCTCCCACCCTCCAACCCGCACAACTTAAACATGACCCTGGGGGCTTGCTTCTTTTTCTTAAGGATTTCTGAGGCTCACATGGAGGCGGGCTGCACTGACAGGGGGTAGCAGCTTCTTGGGGGCCTCAGTTCTGAGCCCCAAAGCCCCAAAACCCCAAAGCGGGCACGGGCTGGAGCTGCCACCGAGGGTCTCAGATCCAAGTTAGCACACTGCAGCCTTGCAGAACCGAAGCGAACGATGCTAGAAATGAATGTGGTCAGTGCAGCCAGGCTGTTCAGGGTGTGTCCTACCTGGGCGGGGTCCCAGGGGCAGGGTCGCAGGGGCGATCCGGCAAGTGGGCTCTCTGCCTTTGTTTCTCTGAGCTACAGACACCTGGTAGAGCCGTTACATTCAGTGGGGTCCAGGGCCTGTTCAGAGCAGAGGGAAATGCGTCTCCAGTGAGTCATCCCAGCTCTGGAATCCACAAAAGTTCTTGATGTTTTTGACATTTATCAAAACCTAAGGTTTTCCAGAGACAGACTTATAGAAACACAATGGAGTATATATAATTAGCAGGGTCCGCCTCCTCCCTTTTTTTCTTTTTTTTTGGGGGGGGTGTTAAGCAGTTTATATTGTACTGACCTCCCTATTTTTTAGAAACTTGATCTAAGGCTTTAGGGCTCTCTGCTAAGTTTGATGTGCTGTGTACAGATCATGCAGAGAATGCTCAGAGACAAAGTGATCCACGCCCCAGAAGATTCACCAGTGTACAGAATCATCTTCATAAACACTTCCAAAATTCTTGTGGGGACAGCAGGGAGCTGTCCAGGTTGTCTGAGGCACTTTTCAAAGCGATTTTCAAAGGCACCGAATGTACGCCATGGCAAGCACACACTCTGGCCTGGGTGTCAGAGTCTTGACACCATGTCTGTGATGACTCTTCACCTACAGGAGCTTCTGCTTCTCAGCTGGAAGAAGCCGCCGGACCTACAAACATCACGTAGATAACTATTCCGAAATATGGAGGGGCAGATACTAGCAAACGCAGAGATAGGTGTAAATTCAAAAGTGTTTCAATGCTTCCATTTTGGGAAAAAGCAATTAAGAACCTAGGCAAGTTTGTTCCCAGAAGCTAAAGCATCACTAGTCTCTACTAAGGAAAATGAATTCCAAGAATTAACGTGGTTTTCACTATTTACTTAAAGCTATTTATTTATTTCACTATTTATATAAAAACCTAGAGACACCAATAATATCTGGTAGCTTCCAATATAAGCTAATGGCTGTTTGATGTTGTCCACTTACTGGTGCTTGCCCGGGTCTGTGTCATATACGCACTAGGAAAATACACTTGCTGTAATTTCTTGTAAGCGAGCAGCAAGTAAGGAGTCGGTGTGGGAGCTGGAGAAGCAGAAGAGCATTCAAAACGTCTTCCCTGCAGTGACTTTCAGTCCAGAACCATCCGAGAGCAGCCACTCCCCCTCACGCTCCTGCAAACTTCGCACCACCTATGACCCACTCTTGCCAGAGCTTGATTGGCCACTGGATTCCGTGTTTCTATGAGATTTGTGGTCCCATCAGCATGGCTGGTCTCCACATGTCTATTTTCAGCCATTGCTGCCTGGCAGGCTCACCACTTCCCTGCTGCCCACACCACGTCTGGGGGCTCCTGCTTCAATGGTTGTGTGTTTCCGTGGATGCTCCCCGATGCGGCTTCATCCGGCACCCCTTTTCAGCCACACCCCTTGCTTCCTCCTCATGGGTGGTCTGGCTTGTCTATTTCACACAGTTTCCCTTTTCTCTTGTCTACTTCTGAGCTGCTAAGGCCGGTGACTTTAGCAGAAGCCGTGCCACGCCCATCACTACGCACCAACCACGGACAATCCGCAGCTGTCCATGGCTGGCGCTGGGCCCCGTTCTAGTGACAGCGTAGGAGGTGTCTGTAAAGGGGTGCTGGTCTTGGGAAGCCCACCACCATGACGATCAAACCCCAAGCCACGAGCGAGCGAAATGCTGCAAACGAATGTAACTTCAGGCCTCTGGTCAAACAAGAGACTTGGTTCGGCTCCAGTATAATGATGGTGGTTTTCACAGAAATATCCGTCTCCTCCTATCTGCTCTCCGCTGTAGCACATCATGCCACTGCCCACCTCAGGATCTCCATCTCTGTTTTGGGCTCTGGAGAAATTCTGGAATTCCTGTGCACTTTGGAAGGAGCATGGTCGTGCTTGGGCGCACTGCTGTCTGGAGAGTCTCTCCCTCTGCTAAACGTTCACACTGCAAGCAACTAGTCCTTAATCCCAGCCAACTCTAACATGATTTCTCTAGCTCCAAACCAGTCTGCTCTGCACTTTGTCTATGGGCTTCACTTCACGTACAGGAACGCGCTCAGCGTCTTTCCCTGGGGGCTAAGGTGGGCAGTGTGCTCACACGCCCCGAGTCCCCGTCATGATGACCGTCCCTCTCTGGAGGTTGTCCTCTGCTCCCTGGGCTCCTTGTTATCTGCCCGGCTGATGGCACCGGGAGAGAATGCTGGTGGTCTAGCGCAGACTTTAACCCAATGATTTTAGCTTGATTTCTCCGGGGAGGGTCTTGTGCTCTCATTTTCAGAAATGTCCTGGCGGATTATGTGGGGAGGAATCTGATCTATTATTTGGGGATATCAGCTGATCCAGTTTGCCTCTGGTTCTCCTCTGATGAGGAAAAAGGGCATAGGGCACAGGCTAAACCAGGGGTTGGCACTTCACACGCTCTTTGGCATTTGATGTTAGGAAAAGATTGTCAGGGTTTTTATATTTGGGGGACAAGCTTTAGAGAAGAACCACCCCTCCTTCAGCACCCAGAACCATGGTCTGCAGGCATGCTGGGGGCACCTGCTGGGGCCCGGGAGCGCACTGATGCCCTGTTTGTGTTCAGAACGTGACGAACACGGTGGTGAGGACCATGCTGAGGAACGACCTGTCCCCCGAGGGCATCATCCACCACCTGAAGATCCTGAGCCCCATCCACTGTGCCTTCCAGAACGACCTCCTGACGTCATCGGGCTACACTCCGGAGTGGGGGTGAGTGAAGAGGTCTCTTCCCATTCCTCCCCAGCTCACTGTCCTCTCTAGCACCTTCACTTTGGATTTCTTTAGGGTTTCAATCACTTGAGGACCCTTTTGTGAGACTGACAGTGGCCAGGACTTGGTTAGTAACTGCCAGCTCCCCTAATTCTTGTCTTCACTTCTAAATTAGGACTCAACCAAAGAAAGCCAGATATGCACCCTAGCCAATCACATGGGACGCCCCTGTCCTAGTGAGCCTGCCCACAGCTTCCCCATTCCGATGCCTCACTGGGGCCAGCCTGGGGCCTCCCCGTCCCACTGGGAGGCTGACCCCCGCCCCTGCCTGTCCTCTAGTCTCCTCCAGACCCACGTCGGGGGGCTGACACACCACTCCACTCAGCTCAAAATAGGTAGACTTTCTTTGCCCGTTCCCATTGGGTGGTCTGTCTTTACTTCCACACTCCTCCAGGGGTGCTTTCTGGGGAGGGGCCACAGAAGCACACCTGCTGAACTCACTCACTCTTGCAGGGTTTACACCATTATCGAGGACCTCCACGGCGCTGGCAGTTTTGTCACCGAGATGCAGTTATTTATTGGGGATTCTCCTATACCTCAAAATTACAGCGTGTCTGCCAGCGACGACATCAAGATTGAAGTGGGGCTCTGTAATCAGAAGAGCAACCTCAAGGTGGTCCTGACCGAGTGCTGGGCGACGCCATCCAGCAATGCCAGGGACCCGGTCACGTTCGGCTTCATCAACAACAGGTGGGTATCGGGTGCAGCCTACCTGGGGGCCTCTGCGTTCCCGGATCCCCACGAATAGGTGGGCCTGGGTTTTCAGCAACGCTGGAGTCTCTGGGGAACGGGAGAGCTAGCGGTCCTTGCCTCCCACATGCAGCGCGGATGGGACACGGTGTGTGGGCAGAGGCGCTGCCAGGAAGCCCGTCCGGGAATGGGACGGGGTGTGGGGGTTGGCTCCTGACTCATGAGTCATGGTCCCTCCCTTCCCAGCTGCCCCATCCCCAACACGCACACGAAAGTGCTCGAGAACGGGGATTCCAGCAAGGCCCAGTTTAAGCTGAAAATCTTCTCTTTCATCAACAACTCCATCGTCTATCTGCACTGCAGACTTCGCATTTGCATGGACTCCCCTGGGACCACGTGCAAAATAGTAGGTGTTGCGCTTTCCTAAACTTGTGTCTGGACTCACGCCCCTGTTGCTCTGAGGAGGGTCACTCTGTTAGCTGAAGCCCAGGGCTTGGGTGGCTCGGGGGCCCAACTTCTGGGAGGAGACACGGGGCCCTGCACACTGGGCCCCAAAAAGGCACAAAATGAGGTGTGGACAGTGGGCAGCCCATGGGTGGATGACCCATGTGACCGGATGGCTAAGCTGCTTCCTTCTGGAGGCCGTACCACCTGCTGGCCATCACGTCGCATCCCATTCCTGCCCGTGATGCTGTGGGGCTTCTCCTCTAGGTGGTTTAATGCATATTCAGGTGTAAAAACGTTCCTTTAATTTCATATTATTTTTAGCAACATTGATGGAACACTACTGAATCCCAGTCACTGTGATATTGAATAAGAGGGTTTTTTTTCCCCTATGTTCATCCTCACAATGGGATCTTGAATAATTTTACAGTCTCATTTCTGTAGACCTTTGAATGTGAAATATGCTTTGCAGTCCTGAGGTTTGAAAGCTATTCTTCATACCAGACAAGCGTGTAGCTGAGGATCACACGTTGTCTGCTCCAAGGACAGTGTAGGGAGCTCTGCTGGCCTCGGGTTCAGCGATGGCATGTTTGTCTCTCCTCTGGGGGCTGGGCTCATCCCTGTGCGTCTCACAGAACCCCTGCAGCCTCCCTGGGTGACAAGCCTCCGAGCAGCCCCAGGACACGCATAGGAGAAGAACCGATTTTGTTGATGTCACTTTGTCTCATGCAGTAGATCTTGCAGAAAAAAGGACTGAAAGGCACACTGACGCCCAGATGACTATCAGCTAAGGGCGAACACCAGCCTGCACCTGTTCCAAAAGCCCCTCAGAAATACGAAGAGAATTAATACCACAACCAGCTCTGCAAGGAGCTGCGAGTCTTCAGATTCTTTATGATATGGCTTTCCACATTCCTGTCCACGTTCTCGTAGGAGGGGTGCTGTGTTGGCGTCCTGTGGCTGCAAGAACAAAGTACCCCGGAGCCCCTGAAACAGCAGGAATGCATCCTCTGAGGGGCTGGAGACAGGAAGTCCAAGATCAGGGTGTGGCCAGGGCCGGCTCCCCCTGAGGCTGTGAGGGAGACTCATTCCAGGCTCTGTCCTTGGCGTGTCTTCACAGCTTCCTTTGCGTGTGTCTGTGTTCAACATCCCCTTTTCATAAGGACACAGTCATGTAGGACTAGGACCGCCCCCTAATGACCTCACCTTAACTTCATCTGCAAAGACCCTGTTTCCAAATAAGGTCACATCCGCAGGTACTGGGCGCTAGGGCGTCAACATCTTTTAGCGGGGAATAAAGCAGGTGTATAGTGAGCGGGTCCGACCACGTCCCTGAACCTCTCTGGGAGGCAGAGGTGTGGAAAGGAGCATGCAGCTGCAGCAGGCCACGGAGAAGGTCAAGGTGACTCAAAGCCAACGGAGGGCCCGAGCGGCCAAGGGGCCCGGGCTTGGAGACGGCTCAGCAGGTGCTCTCTCGAACCTCGCTTCCTGCAGCCCCTGCTGCCCACCCTCCCTCCTGTCACACCGGCAGAGCCCCGTGGTCCAGGGCCCTCATGCCCTCCGCTGTCTGAGCTCATCCGGCGGGTTTACAACGTACAGACCAGAGTCTCACCCTGACAGAGACCGCATTTCTCAGAGCTGATGAGTTCCGTTCAACTAATTGGAAGTTTCCTTCATTTCAAAACAACAGAATTGCAATGACATCCAGTCCCCAAGAAGCAGTGAAGCATCTGCGACACACCAGATGTCCTGGGGACCCCTCATTCGGTCTGAAGGTGAGTTGGTGACTTGGTTGTCAGTTAAAGAAAAGATGCCACTGGTTCCATCTCCCCCGAGTGTGAGCCCTGGGATGGTCGGCAGACGCACCACGGTGGACGCAGCAGCTGGTGTTTGCGGAGCCCCAGTTCCAGCCCTGCGTTAAGTCCCTCGCATGCCGGCCCCTCCCGGGACTCCTGGGGGGAGGAGCCCTCGCCGGCCCCACGTCCCCACACTGTTGCTGCGGAAGAAACAGCGGGGGCTGCAGGAAGTCAGCTCACGCTTAGATAAAGCTGTGTTTTGAGCTGCGTCACACGAAGCCCGTAAAGTTTCCTGACATGGGATAAATACACCGGGTGGGTTGCTGGGAGGGAGGAACGGGGCTACACCAGGTCGGATTCCGTGTGAACACGCGTATGTGTGTACATGTGTACCAGTGTGCACACGCACGAGAAAGCCGTTTATTCTGGGCTTGGCTACATCAGAAGACGCAAATAGAAAGGCATGGCTTTCTCCCTTGGTATAAAACTTCCATCATCCGTGTGATTTCATCCCATGTGATCTCAAAGGCCACCATCACTTTTCCAGAAAAACGTTGTATCTCCTCTGAGATTGATTTTATTGTTTTTTTTTAAAAATTGGTTGGGGGAAATTGTGTGCTTTGGGTATTAAGACAGAAACCACTAGATGTGCCCCAATATCTGTCCTCCTCTCCTTCATAGTCATGGAACCCCCAGGTTTTTGCTGGCAGGTGGCTGACGGCAATAAACACTGTAATTCCCAGCTGACCTGGCAGCCAAGTGTGGCCATACGAGTAAGTTCTGGCCAATGAGATGCAAATGGGAGGTCCAGTGACAGCCCCCGAAGGGCTGCCCCTCACGTGCCCCTTTCTTCCTACTGCCTGGCAGTGGGGGCGGGGCAGCTACAGTCAGCTGCCTGGCGGACCCTGAGGGCCTTGGGGACAGGAGCTGGAAGGAGCCCCGTTCCCAAGGACACTGCAGAGCAGGTATGCCAGGGCTCGCCTCCAAAGTCCGAGTTTTGTGCCAGAAAGAAATAAACCTTCATGTTCTTTGTCACTGCTATTTTGGCTTTTTCTCCTTTTGTAGCTAAATGTAATCCTGGTCGAATTTCCTTTTTTGTTGTTTTTCTCCCTAACTTTGATCGCCCTCCTTGTCTCTATCGTCCTGCACAAGAACTTTGGGGTTTTGGATATGGGGTCTGAGCCCAGGTCCAAGTCTGATCAGGGCTGGGGAAGGAAGCTGAGGGAGGAGGAAGAGGGAGGGAGGGCCTCTTGGCCAGTGATTCCAACTGCTGGTTCTCATCCAAAGTATTTGTGAAATTTAAAAGATTCCAGGTTTGGGGTCCTACTAATGCTGAGTTTTTGGAGCTGGGCTCCAGGTCCCGGGGTCTGCACTGGTCATCAGGCGGTTGCAGGGCCCATCCTAGGACTGCACGCTTATCCTACTGTCTTCATTTTCTCAAACTACCGAGGAGAACTGGTTGGCCAGGGGCCCTGATATACATTCTCATTTATAGAAATAGAACTTCTATTTATTCACAATATTATAGATAATGTCAAAACTACTGGAGTGGAAGAAGTACTGGGCTTAGAGTTAAGAGACCTGAGTTTGAATAGAGTGCTTCTAGTTCTGTGGTCTTGGGAAAACTACTGAGTCTTCTGGGTCCAATCCATCCTTCTTCCATCATTCCTCCATCCATCCACCCACCCACCCATCCATCCACCCATCCATTCATCCATTCATCCATTTATCTATCCATCCATCCATCCACCTACCCTTCCATCCACCCATTCATCATTCCTCCATTCACCCATCCATTCATTCATTTACCTATCCATCCATCCATCCACCCATCCATCATTCCTTTATCCATCCATCCACCCACTCATCCATTCATCCATTTATCTATCTATCCATCTATCCACCATTCCTTTATCCATCCATCCATTCATCCATTTATCTACCCATCTATACATCCACCTACCCTTCCATCCACCCATTCATCATTCCTCCATCCATCCATTCATCCATTTACCCATCCATCCATCCACCATCCATCATTCCTTCATCCATCATCCATCCACCCACCCATCCACCCATCCACCCACGCTTCCATTCATCCATTTATCTATCTATCCATCCATCCATCCACCTACCCATCCATCATTCTTTTACCCGTCTATCTGTCCATCCATTCATCCTTCCATCCTTCCATCCATCCATCCACTGATTCAGCATTCCTTCCTCCAGCTGTCTACCCAGGATCCATCCATCTATCCATCCATGCACATGCACCCACTTATCATTATTTCATCTGTCTATGTGACAGGCATACATCTCTACGAAGTGTCTCGCATTCTCCTTTTTCTCTGCAACATGGGTGACTACTTTGTGCCTCCTTTCCCTCATCTATAAACTGGGAACAATAATAATTTCTACTTCATACAGTGCCTTGTCCATAGAAATTACTGGATAAGTGTTAGTTATTACTTGTAACCATAGAGTACCACACTAACAACCATTGCAGAGAACACCAAATATAATAAGGGTATAAATTGTCGGGCTCAAAAACAAGGACTGTAATTATTCATTTTGTTCATCATTCTTTCTCATTGTATTATTAGCTTTTGTTTACTCCATTACTGTGCCACACAAATAGACAGAAAAAGCATTTAGAAACATGGAATCTCCTAGTTGGTGGAAACTTCACATTTTAATTGTGTACATGAGCAGAAGCAGTGTTGGAGACTACAGGGGTGAGATGGACTGGCAGACAGATCCCTTCGGAATTGCCCCCCTCCCACCCTGTGCCCACAGTCTGTTCCCTATGCACCCACGCTCTGCCCCCACCCTTGATGTGCGTCCATGCTCTGCTCCCCACCTCCCATGTCACCCACGCCCTGCCCCCCCTGTGCATCCATGCTCTCCCCTCACCCCCCATTCACCCACACTCTACCCCCCCCACTGCGTGCCCACATTCTGCACCCCCCACATGTGCCCACACTCTGGCTTTGCCATCACCATCACTCCCACTGTAGGGAAGACTGAGAATACTTGGGGATTTCAGGGAACGTGGCCAAGATCACAGGCCGGTACCTGGACAAGCTGGGCCTCTCAGAGCAGTTCCCGGCTTCTCCTAACCCACCCAGCTTTCCTCTTCTGGGGCTGCACAGGCTTCTTCCTCCCCAGAGCTCCAGCCCTCACACCATCTGTGTTGGTTCTCTGGGGCTGGTGCCACAGGAAACTAAGTGCACAGACTGGGGGGTTTAAAACAGGAGAAAATATTCTCTCACATTCAGGAGGCCAGAAATTCAAGATCAAGGTGTCAGCAGGGCTGGTTCCTGCTAGGGCAGCGAAGGAGAGTCTGTCCCAGGCTCTCCCAGCTTCTGGCATTTGCTGCTCTGGTTCTCTTTGGCTTATAGGATCCCATCACCGGATCTCTGCTTCTGTCCTCACACGGTGTTCTACCGGGCCTCTGTGTCTTCACCTGGCCGTCTTCTTATAAGGACGTGGGTCATATTGGATCAGGGGCTTCTCCTGCTTCAGTGTGACCTCATCTGAACCTAACTCATTACATCTGCAATGACCCTAGTTCCAAATAACATCACCTGCTGTAGGACAGGGGGTTAGGACCTCGACATGCCTTTTTGGAGGACACACACACCACTGTGCATTGGTAATGTTAAGGAAGAATCCATTTGGGCATCGTCCCTGAATGTGTGATGCCAGCAAACCTTATATCAGCATCACAATTTTCTGATTTAATTTTTGGAACTCTCCCATGGCCATTTGCTTTGCTAGACACCTCATTATTTCTCACTCACTAGAGTTTCTTTGTACAAAGAGGAAGAGAAAGTTTAGGTGATGTCTGCCAGATGCTCAAATGTTCCCGCAGGAAGGGTCTGGAGCAATCATCGAGGCCGATCAAGAAGTGAGGAGCCGGGGGTCCCCAGACAGCGGCTGAGCTAGAATGCAGACCTCTAGAAGGGGCTGTTTTCCCTGGGGTCGTACCTGTGCTGGGAGCTTCTCTATCACTTTTCCCCACAGGGTGCGTGTCCCCTTCACCAAAGCATTGATAGCTTAGTGTCTTTGCAAAATGACTATTTGTGCGCACGACCCCAAGGAGCCATGGTAACCCTCCTGCGCGTGGGCGCGGGCTGCCTGAGCTATCCTGATGGAGGACCAGGTTTTTGTTAAAAGATGGACAGGTGGCTCAGCTGTGTGACCCGCATGCAGCTCACACCACACAACTGGTCTCTTTGGGCCGGGCGGACATCCCCACCGGTGGCCAGGGTCATGCTGCAGGATATGCTCGCTCTCCACTTCCAGCTCTCTCACGCGGGCCCCACCTGGAGCAGCTCTGGGTCAGTGGGTCGGTTAGGAGCCTTTTGCTGCAGGTAACAGGAAACCAAACCTGCTCATTCGTCCCCGGAGCCGGCCGTCTGGGCTGGCTCTGGGTTCCACTGTGGAGCAGGGTCTATCTCTTCTGTCCTGCTGCTCCAGCGTCCTCAGTGCGGTCCACCCTGCTTGTGCTACCAAGCTGTCCCGCACCTGAGGCACAGGAGGATGGCAGGGCCCCATTATAGCACCCCCCAGAGGCTGGATCTAGGGACCAGCCATGTGGTGGTGTTGGGGAAGCTGGCTGTCCAGAGTCCGGGTGCCTTGGGAGGTTGTAGCCATTCTAACATCTGTCCCCAGGGTCTCCGTCCCTCCGGAGGAGGGGATGACCTATGTTCCAAGCAGCCAGGAGGGGGTCCCCAATGCCATTGCTGGGCCACCCTGCTAACTGTGCACACCTGTGCCGTGCCCTGGCCGACCCAGAGCAGTGTCTACGCAAGCAACTGCAGAGGAAGCAGGATCCGGGTGCCGCT